CATCAATGGGAGCATGAGCTCCATTTTTGGCAAAAATATTTGAAAATATATCATTGTAAAGGGTCTGGAGTCCGCTGAACCCCAGGAGGCATTTAAGGGTTAACAAGCATTTGTGACAAACGCGGTTTCCCTTAATTGTTATTAATTTTTTAATAACAATTTATTCTGTAGCGGTCTTTAATTTATTTGGTGAGAATCGCTTTTTGTTAAAGATCGCTTTGGCCCTGTCCGCGAGACGTTTCGCTGTTAACGTCCACTACTAGCTTCAGCTACATAGAACCCAGAGATATCTGTTTCCACAATTGTAGTCCAGTCAAAATACGGAAAAAAGGGGGGGTACCTAGAAAAAATTGCAACACAAGGTTTTATTACGTCATTGTGTTCAGAAAAATATACTGAACAACATATTCAAATTCCGCCATTTTCCGCTATCCTTAAGTATGTTTTTTATTAACAATTTATAAACAAATTCGTTTTTCTCTACAAATACGATGAATTTGAAATTTTTGTAGAGATCAAAGTTGTAGAGCAGACACATATCTACAAAAAATGTTCTTATGAATTTTTTGAAATATCTCATATTATTTGAGATATTTGCAACAAGAGCTACTAGGCTACGCGCGGAGCGGAGCGGAGAGTTCTAACAAGCACACGGCAGTCTCTACCGGTCGCTGCTAGTTCTCTAGGTTCTACAAGGAACTTGAGTTGCGGTTCTTGATACTAGTATATGTGTCTATGTATACACATACAATATACATATATATATATATATATATATGGGACAATCCACGTCACTTTTACCCCCGCTCTATCCAAAGTTGGTATGGACAAATTTTAATGACTAAGGGCGGAAAATGTTCGTCTTAAAAAGAGCTTTTAAAAGGCGTGTGGCATATATGCGCAATTCAACATGGCGTCATGTTGAATCTAAAATTTTGAATTTATCCCTTTAAGCAGCCATAACTATGACGCAATGTTGAATTGCGCATATATGCCACACGCCTTTTGAAAGCTCTTTTCAAGACAAACATTTTCCGTTATTAAAATCCGTCCATACCAATTTTGGACAGAGGGGGGTAAAAGTGACGTGGATTGTCCCATATATGCATACACTACCCTCCATAAATTTGGAAACACTATAAAATGCAATATACAGAAAATAGTACATAATAGTACATATGTTATCCAATAGGTTTTTAAAATAAAGAATTTTCATTAATTTTTACATTCCTCAAAGTAACCACACCTTTTGCTTTAATGACTGCCTTGCATATTCTCGGCATACGGTGGATCAACTTTTGGAGTTCAGTCGGGATACGTTTCCATTCTTGCTGGAGAACTTCCCAAAGGTGCACCTGTGACTATTGATTCGCTGTTCAACAAATTCAACTCCGAGCACTTCGGTGTCGCGAAATAATCATCCGACATATTTTCGGCATGTACAAGTGTTGCAAGTGTCCCAGGTAAAAATATATATGATTATTTGAACGTCTTAAGATATATTCATACCAAAAATCTGCACAGATCGCTGCCGTGCGACTATTTATCTGTAAATAGTCGCACGTACGGCATCTGTCATAGAGTGTTTCCAAACTTATGGAGGGTAGTGTATATATATATATATGTATATATATATATATGTGTGTGTGTATACATAGACACATATACTAGTATCGAGAACCAACCCAAGTTCTTTGTAGAACCTAGAGAATTAGCAGCGACCGGTAGAGACTGCCGTGTGCTTGTTAGAACTCTCCGCTCCGCTCCGCGCGTAGCCTAGTAGCTCTTGTTGCAAATATCTCAAATAATATGAGATATTTTAAAAAAATTATAAAAACATTTTTTGTAGATATTTGTTTGTTCTACAACTTTAATCTCTACAAAAATTTCAAAATTTATCGTATTTGTGGAGAAAAACGAGTTTGTTTATAAATTGTTAATAAAAAAACATACTTAGGGATAGCGGAAAATGGCGGAATTTGAATATGTTGTTCAGTATATTTTTCTGAACACAATGATGTAATAAAACCTTGTATTGCAATTTTTTTTAGGTCTAATCGTATTTTGACTGGACTATTGTGTTTGAAATTAAAAAACTTTTTGAAATATGACGAAGTGGTGTGCGGTACCAAATTGCAAAACTGATAGCAGAACCGAGCAGAAACGTTCTCTATTTCGAGTGCCGAAAGATATCGTTATGTGAAAGAAGTGGAAAAAAGCTATTCCGGGTATTGTGAAGTTGTGCCAGACGGATGTTATATGTGAAAAACATTTTAACGAAGAAGACATTGCTCGCGAGTGGGTCAAGCTCGACGCAAATGGCCAAGTAATTGCACGGGTGAGTTTAATGAAAAAAATTTCACAGTTTGAAAAGATACTTATTCAAATAATGTATTTCTTGATTGAAGGTCGCATACAAACATATGCAGCTTAAGCAGCTCGCTGTGCTTACAAGATTCGGTGACGTTCCGACGGAAAAGGAAAATTGTAAGCCACTGCATGAAAATGCAAAGCAAGTTTCGGATTCTCGAATAAATTCTTTAAGCATTCAGTCCTCTAGTCTCCAGTCCTCTAGTCTCACGAAACCAATTCAAGAAATCAGTAATTCTGCTCGGGGGCGTTTAAGCGTTCCCCGGATTTGCGAATTGGTGCGAACTACGTGACTCGAAGGACCAGGGGAGGTGTGTATCGTCTCCCCAAAGCGAATTAACAAAATTAAACAAATGCGACTCACTGTTCGGGAGGCCGTCGTCTCCTGGAGAATTCGTCTTTCTAGCAAGCTCGTGGGCAGCATGTGCAGCAAGCGCAGGCAAAGGCAGCAAGGCAAGCAAAGGCAAGGCAGGCAAAGAAAGCGATCGCACTTCCGGAGAGCGAGCTCTATGTGGCCTCTCGGATGTTCGAGTATGCACGTATAGCGTGTGCACCCCGAGACGTCGTGACGATGAGTGATTGATGAGAGGTGTGTCCTATCAGAATGCTTGACGATGAGTGAATCGTGCTCGCGGCGCTGGAAAAGTGTCGCGATCCGCCGACGTTTCGCGCGAGTCACCGGAAATACATTAAACGATATATAGAATATATAAATATTCAAAAGACAATTAAACAACGCATGAATATGAACGTGACTAAACTAATGACTGTTCCGTAATTTTCTGTCAATTAAGTGCGATCGCAGATCAATAGCGTACAAGTGACGCCATCCGTCAGTCACCTTTTGAACGAAGGAATTTCGCGCCGCTTCCCGCGTACACCCTGACCACAGGGCTTCTCCCAACGCGTATCGATCCGTCATGCCGGGATCGCATGATCCCGGAAAACGCGAATGATTGGTCGATACGCGTCGTGCAACCGAAGGCCCGAAACGGGCCCGCGAAGGGCCGCGAGAGCTCCGGTCTCAACAGTAGTTACAATTACTCCGGTTCACGAGGTGGTACACCGCCATGCTTCCGTAATTAGTCCGTCCGTTCCACGCGGCCTTACAAACCGTCGTGCACACGGACTTAATGCTCAGCAAGAACACCGCTAATTGTATCGTGCCGTCTGTGCGCGCCGCAACGCACCCTCGCCTGAGCAAGCGGTGAACTTTCTGCGTATAAGTCGCCCTGAGTGCATCGCCATTGTCCGCGCGATCATCGAGATCGACCCAACTTGTGAATATCTCACGTTGTGTAGTACAAGTAACCGCGACTACTGCAAAACGCCTCTCGTGCGTCAATCAAGTGAAAGACGCAGCGTTCACAATTTGCCTGCGCCTCAGCGCCCAGCGAACAGTATCGCGTCAAGTGATCTGCGCTCCGAGATCACATCGAATCACGTGCTTGCCAAGCGTCGCGCTAACTCAACGTGCGTTCGCTAACGTGTAAGAAACTGACTTTCAATTAAAGACTTTTGTGAATCGTTAAATCAAGTGTCCGTCTTCTTATTGCACCTCGAATCCCTGTCGGGGTCGACCCGGCATCTTACGTCAATTGGCGATCCGGAGTTACGCCCGGAAAGCAAAATCGCCAACAATGACTATAATACATATATATATATATATATATATACATTATGGCGAGCGCCAAACAACTTCTGTCTTGGTGAGTTTTCTTATACAAAAAATATTTATTACACCATTGATATAAAAAAGATAAAGTAATTAAAACATATATAAATTTCTTTCGTTGATTTTATAGATATCGCTGATGTTCCTCCACCCGCTACAAGCGTTGACACAGACATTGGGTTGTCGCTCTCTCCAATGATGATATCGAGTTGTAAACCTCCAATAGCAAATTGTTTGCTCCTGTTCGCGAGCGCGCGGTAGCGCGAGATAGCGCGCGGTAGAAGACGACCACAAAAGAAACGGAGAGGAACAGCAAGTACAGAAATACAAAGTTTAATGTTCAATATATGTACAGTTATTTACACGAGTTTCCCTTTCAGGCAAACTACCGAGAGCGCGCACAGAGTTTAGCTCGGCGAAAGCGGCGATATAACAATTAAGTGCAAAAAGCGGTGATGAGCGGTGAAGCAAAGCGGGTGTATAAGAATACTAGCGGTGATCTGCGAGCGAAATCGATTCCGCGGCGCAGCGGCGGTCCCTTTAACACCTCCGAGGCGAAACTCCCTCCCTGCAGATTTCTCAAAATTTCGGGAGGGTGATTGGCCGTCGGAGTCCCGCGTCATGGAGCTGACGTCACCGGTTTCACGTGGTGACCCGACGGGGTCGTCATCTGTTTTCGAGTGTTTTGTGTATAGCATGGATCGTTCCTTTGTTCTAGCGTTGTTGTTTGACTTTATTATTGATGACAATGTTAACGTTTCTAGAAAGTTAATCCCGAAAGGTCCATGCTATACCGAATATTTCCGTGATGATTTTGAACGGCATTTCACGCGAATATTAATTTACTGATTTTACTCAATTTACTGCAGGCGTGCATGTGCTGACATGCAGCCGAACGCGACTTCGTCGCGATGCTAAAGTTTACGATCTCAAACAGCTCCTCAGAAGCCTACCAAAGCGTTCTCATCTGTGAAAATCTGCAAACGTGAGTAATGCAATGTAATGTCTTGCCCAAATGTTTAGAAGAAAAAAAAATCTTATACCGTTTAAGTTACAATACTGGAAAAATATATAGAATGCTACATACAACATATATATATTTACCACAGTAGAAGCCGCAAAATCTGAAGAAAATATATAGCAAATTAAATCGCTGATATTCAGTCAAATAAATAAAATAAATAGAACTGTTCTATTTAGAGCCTGTTCACACGAGGCGTTTCTGTCGCGCGATTGCTGCCGCGCGGCCGCGCGCTGTCGCGAGGCAAGGTGCAACAACGCACGTATACGCGCGTACTTGGAAAAGCAAGTAGAGGAAAGACGAGTGTCCTATAAATCTAAAACACCGCAAAGCGTATCGTAGATGCTTGTCGTCGCGCATACGCCTTTCCGCATATGCGAGTACACGATTGCAGCAATCGCGCGGCAACCGCGCGGCAAAAACGCTTCGCGTGAACAGGCTCTTCATTTACCGTTAAAAATTACGTGAATTTTCTTAGTTTAACCTGAAACAAGAATAAATTATATTAAATTTATTTTTACTGTAATGAAAATCGAGAAAAAATATATTTTATATGCTATGAAACGAATCAATATGAAATGTAAGTGGTGCAATATAATGATTATAAAAGGTTACGAATTTTTATTAGTACGAAGACTGACCATTGCTTATAAAAATTGCTTGATTTTATTATACCAGTAATACCGGAAGAAAATGCGAGTACCAGTAATGACTTCTCTGCCGATGTCCCGGAGGGATGAAGTTGGGTCAACATGCGTACTGAAATTGTACAATGTACGCTGTTGACATACGCGATCATGAAGATCGAAAACGGTGAACATTGTCCAGTAGCACAAAAAAGTGTTACACTTGACATCGACGGAATATTGAAGTATTTTGTTTATGGTCGTCACGTTTATCCACAAGATAAGAATCTCGAACGTGTTCTAGAAAAAAATGCTTAAGGACATACTAGAAAAATTTAAAGAAATGAACGTCTGCAGTGGTTTAGGTGACATTAGTATCCATTTTGTAGTAGTCAATGGGACATATCAAGATAACATCGACAAGTCGAGAAGTAAAGGCTGTTCTCTACTCTCAAAGAAAAAAAGATGCGATTCCTGCATGAAGTGGAGGAAATGCATATTGCAACAGAAAGCACGGCTGAAAATTCGTCCACAAATGGCAAGCATGCAAAATACGGCTGTGGATAAAAAATTAGCTGAGTTAGACAACATCTCAAAATCTGAAAAACTAGTAGTTCAGGAAATCATCGCCGCGGCAAGGAAAAAGGATGCCAAAGGTCGACGTTACTCCGATGACTGGATTATGTTGTGCATGCTTATAAACATCCAATCTCCAAGAAATTACGAATTTTTGCGCAAAAACAATATTTTGCCATTTCCGTGCACAAGGACAATACGCAGTTATTTTTCTTTAATTAACGCGAAGTGTGGCTTCGATGAAGAATTTGCGAAACTCCTCGAGAAACATTTTGCATCGAAAACTCCACTGCAGCGTCACGGGGCTCGATGAAATAAACTTCAGGAAGTCTGTGGCAGTTTGTTCCAGAACTTACCTGGGTTTAACCGACTTTGGTGATGATGGGCAACAATCCACAGACATAAACGA